CTATGGGATGAACTAGCATGTTTGATGCCAATCCCTAACTGCACTTGCTCAGCATCAAAGGAGGTATCAGATTTGACCGTTTTTAATCGATTAATGCAATTTTTAATGGGATTAAACGATACTTTTGACCACATCAGAAATCAGGTTCTTGTAATGGATCCATTGCCTTCAGTCAACAAGGCCTACTCTATGGTACTTAGAGTTGAAAAACAGAGGGAAGTGCATGTACTATTTCCTGATATGAATGACAATTCAGCCATGTTTATTAGAACTACTGAATATAAGAGAGAAAGTGGAAACAGAACTGGATTCTATAGAGGATCTAACAGAGGGCGTTTTGGTAGAGGGAATTACAGTTCAGTAAAGGGAAATGCGAGAAGGTTTGGAGTTGTTGAAAGAGATAATTCACACTGTGATCATTGCAATATGAATGGTCATACAAAGGATACATGTTTCAAATTAAACGGATACCCAGACTGGTTTAAAGATCTGAAGGAACAGAGATCTAAGAATTTTACTGATGGAAAGTAGTTAGCAAATATGGCAGATACGCCATTGGATTTTAGTGAAGATCAAGTGAGGAATGATACTGCCATGTCAAATAATATTGCTGACATGATAAAACTTGAAGTTCAAAAGGCCTTGAGAGGCAATATGCTGAAAAATATGGAGAATAAGGTGAATTTTACACATATCAAAGACTATGCAGGTATGAGTTTCTGTTATTCCCTTCTAGCTAGACTTGATTGTTTGAAATCTGGCACTTGGATAATCGATACAGGAGCTAGTAATCATATATGTGCAGACATCACATTAATGACAGACATGAAAATCACAACTCAGCCCATACAAGTTTGCCTACCTGATGGAACTACTAAACCTGTTAACAAAGTTGGAAATGTGAAATTGAATTCACAATTACATCTCACAGACTCATTATATGTACCTAGTTTCAATTTTAATCTCTTATCAGTGCCTAAACTAACTCAAAATGCTCACCTAAAACTAACCTTTTATCCTTCTTTCTGCCTATTGCAGGACCTGCAGAGTGAAGGAGTTCTAGCGGTTGGCAAGCTTGTTGGAAATCTTTATCTTTTAGATGAGTCGAGTTTTTTGTTTGGGAATAGAAACACTAAACAGTCTATAGTTGAGTCTGAAAATTCTGGATCCTTTCCATCATGTAACCAAGCTTATGATATCAATAAAATTTCTATTTCACCTTCTTCTGACTCATTACTCCAATGGCACAATAGACTTGGTCACACATCCTTCCAAACCTTGCAACATTTAGAGTTTTTGAAACATCATCCCACAGAATCTGATTTGTTACAGAGTTGTGAAACCTGTCATAAAGCAAAACAACAGAGAATGCCCTTTCCTGTTAGCTCAATTCATACTGAAGCCACGTTTGAATTAATTCATGTGGATATTTGGGGACCCTATAGGCAATTCTCGTTGACAGGAACACCTTTTATCTTAACAATAGTGGATGATTTTAGTAGAGCAACATGGACCTTCCTACTACTACACAAAACGCAGGTCACTAAAACACTTGATTGTTTTTTTTAAATGGTGGAAACTCAGTTTGATAAAAGAGTAAAATGCCTGAGATCTGATAATGGGACTGAATTCCTTGGAGCTGAATGTCAAGCCTTACTTCAAACTTCTGGGATAATTCATCATAGATCTTGTATCTACAGTCCTCAACAGAATGGCGTTGTGGAACGCAAGCATAAACATCTTCTCCAACTAGCTCAATCCCTGATGTTTCAAGCCTTTTTACCAAAAAAGTTCTGGCCATTTTCCATATTAATGGCTACCTTCATCATCAATAGACTTCCAACAAAGGTCTTAAGTTGGCTCACCCCTTTTGAAAAACTATATGGAAAGAAACCTGATTATTCCTTAATTAGAACTTTTGGATCGTTATGTTACATGGCTAATACTAAGTCTCACAAGGATAAATTTGAGGAACGAGGATATAAGTGTGTTTTTCTTGGTGTCAATCCTGGACAAAAGGGGTTCAAAGTTTACAATCTTTCCACTAAACAGATTCAGGTATCCAGAGATGTCAAGTTTTTTGAATCTGTTTTTCCTTTTCAGAATAAAAGTCAGTAATGATCCACCTATCCCTTTGCGTCTCACTCAACACTTCGACTCTGATGAAATTAGCACACACCCACCATTACATACTTTACAGAAATTTGCCACCCATCTTGATGTTACAAATTCACCAAACAATTCTTCTGATTTTATTCCTTTAATTCAAGTTCCCTTTCCTGACTTACAAATTACTGATGACTCAAGTTCTTCACATATTCCATCTCCTACTCCTCCTCTCAGGCAGAGTACTAGAACCAAATCAAAACCACCCTGGTTGCAGGACTTTGTCACTAATGTTACTAGCACGCCTGTTTTGCCAACTGCTGTTCATAATTCACTCTACAGGTCCAGTTCCTATGTTTCACCAGGTTATACGCCACCTACTTTTCCTTATCGTATTTTGCCACACCTTAATTCTTCTTATGCTGCTTTTCTAGCTGCTTTATCGATTATCCAGGAACCATCCTCTTACAAGCAAGCTAGTCAAAGTCTTTATTGGACTCATGCAATGCAACTTGAACTTGATGCCCTGGAGAAAACCCAGACTTGGGAACTAACTACACTACCACCTGGGAAGCAAGCTATTGGATCACGATGGGTTTCTAAGGTCAAACTTAACCCTGATGGTACAGTTGACAGACTAAAAGCGAGATTAGTTGCCAAGGGGTATCATCAATTGTAAGGGGTGGATTATTTTGATAGTTTCTCCCCAGTAGCCAAATTGGTTACTGTAAGGATGCTCTTCACTCACGTAGCAGCTCGCGAATGGGTTTTGCATCAGTTGGACATTAACAATGCCTTTCTTCATGGTTTCTTAGATGAAGAGGTGTACATGGTGCCACCTGAAGGTTTTCTTAAGGCTTTACCAGGGCAAGTTTGCAAACTGAACCGTAGTCTGTATGGTTTGAAACAGGCGTCACGACAATAGAATGCTGAACTTTGCTCCAAACTTCATGATTTTGGTTTTAATCAGTCTGAACATGATCATTGCCTTTTTACCAGATATCAGTCAGACAGAATTGTCATTCTTCTCGTTTATGTTGATGATGTTCTTATTACAGGCTCCCATGAAGATGATATTGTTGCTGTCAAACAATACTTACATAAGGTGTTTACTATCAAAGATCTAGGGTATGCTAAGTATTTTCTGGGGCTTGAAATTGCTCGAAATTCTGAAGGGATGTATGTTAACCAGAGAAAATATATTCTTGATTTAGTTCAAGATGCTGGTCTATTAGGGGCCAAGCCAGCTGCAGTGCCAATTCCTAAAGGAACAAGATTGATTAGTCAAGCAGGTCCTCTGCTTCAGGAACCAGAGAAGTATCGAAGGTTGGTTGGGAGACTTCTCTACTTAAACTTGACACGTCCTGATATTACCTATGGTGTTCAGCAGCTTAGCCAATTTATGCACGCACCTTGTGACTCACATTGGGAAATTGCTTTACATCTCCTGCGTTATTTGAAGGGTTGCCCCTCACAGGGCCTTTTCTTCCCGGCACGGAATTCCTTACGTTTGCAGGCTTACTCGGATGCGGATTGGGCCTCTTGTCCTGACTCCAGAAAATCATTAACTGGATATTGTATTTTCCTTGGTTCAGCTCTTATCTCTTGGAAGACCAAGAAGCAAACCACCGTTTCGCGATCTTCGGTAGAGGCTGAATACTGTAGTATGGGGACTACAGTTTGTGAACTGCAGTGGATCACTTACATTCTGAGGGACCTTCATATTCCTTTCTCACTTCCCATTGTTTTATGGTGTGATAACAAGGCTTCCTTGCATATCACTGCGAATCCGGTGTTTCACGAGCGCACGAAGCATTTGGAAATTGATTGTCACCTGGTTCGAAATCTTTATAAGTCTGGTTTTATCCTTCCACAGTATATCCCTTCCCATGCTCAGCTTGCTGACATTTTTACTAAGTCTTTTGCTGCCCCTCACTTCCATCGTCTTCTCTCCAAGTTGGGGTTAGGTGATCTCCACCAACCTCCACGTTGAGGGGGGGATGAAGGAATATCATCCAGCTCAGGGAGTCCATCATCCAGCTCAGGGAGTTGATGGAGTTTTTCACTACAAGTCCAGTCCATAAGTTACCGGCCCACTAAAGTCCAGTCCAGTCCATTTCGTTCAGTTCATAGTTTAGTGAATAAAGGGTTAAAACGTGTTTTACTCACACGCTTTTGCTCACGTTTATTTCCATCTATTCTGTTAGTTTGTTATCTCTCTGCTGTCGCCTTTTGATTGGTTATGGTAGCTTCTTCTCCATATATAAAAGAGGTAGATCATGACCGGGATTACTATGGCAAAACGATTAATACATTAAATTGAATTTTATTTTAGTTTTGTTCACTAACTCTAAATTTTAACTTATTCAAACATTTGGTTTTGTTTTATTCTGCCACTGGTTGTCGGCTAGGCGCTATTGCCGGCGGCGAAGTGGGCTTAGTGGTCCTCAAGGGACGTATCTGGCATTTAATCAATTTAAGAGCAGGTTTGGGGGTGCTTTCAAGCTGTGGGTATGTTTGACAATTATTATTTGGAAAAAATAATGTTTTCTTACTTCACCACACAACGTGTTAGCCGCTTAAGAAAAGGACATAATTAATAAATTTGTCCAATATCGGCACGAATTCCATCAATTTTGCACTATAAACTTGTACAGGAATCCCATTGTAGAAGACTCCAAGAAGGAAAACTTATGGATCTCCAATTGTACCTGCTTGCTCTATTTTCTATCATATGGGCAAGTCTTTTTTTCCTAACCTCAATTTCAAAGCACCGAAAATCCACCAAGCTTCCTCCGGGGCCTTATCCTCCTCCGATCATCGGGAACATTCTCCAACTTGGCGAAAATCCTCACCAATCACTGGCCAAACTTTCCCAAACCTATGGACCTCTTATGTATCTTAAATTAGGATATCGTGAAACAATAGTCGTTTCATCACCAGAATTAGCAAAAACTGTACTACAAAAATATGATCAAACCTTGAGTAGCAGAACTGTCCCCGTGACACTTGAATCCGTCAAGCATGGCAAATTTTCTGTGGCTTTTATGCCAGTTGATAATCAATGGCGTAAACTTCGCAGAATATTGAAAGAACAGATGTTTTCACTGCAAAGGTTGGATGCAAGTCAAAGCATTCGAGAAGAAAATTTGCACAAACTGTACGAGTATGTGAATCAATGTCGTGTTAATGGTCATGCAGTGGATATAGCTGAGGCTACATTTACGACCTCGCTTAACACGATATCGTCAACTCTTTTCTCAGTTGATTTTGCAGACTTCAATTCTGATTCCTCTCATGAGTTTAAGGATGTTGTGTGGAATGTAATGAAATGTATTGGGAGTCCTAATCTTGCAGATTACTTTCCAGTTCTTAAATATGTTGATCCACAAGGCATCTCACGCCGAACCAAGTTTTATTTCGGAAAATTATACGCTATTTTGGATGGTATTATAGATCAACGGTTGAAATCCAAAGGTACATTGGAGAAAAATGATTTACTGGAGGCCCTTCTTGATCTCTACCAAAAGCCTGAGCCAGAATTAAGCCGAAATGAAATAAGGCATATGCTATTGGTATGGATTATACTTCAATAACGAACTTCGATTTCATTGATCTAGAAATCTAAGAAGAAATACTTAAATTTTCTCTCTTACTTGGCTTTCTATTTTGTAGGACTTATTTCTTGGTAGCACAGATACGGTTCCTTCTACTGTTGAATGGGCAATGGCTGAATTTCTCCGCAACCCCAAGAAGATGTCAAAAGCTAAAAGCGAGCTTAGTGATGTGATTGGAGAGCATGGTGTGATTCAGGAATCAGATATTTCGAAGCTCCCTTACTTACAAGCTGTTGTGAAAGAAATACACAGACTTCACCCTGTCGCACCTTTGTTAGTACCTCATAAAGCTGAGGCCGATGTTGAAATCAATGGTTACATCATCCCCAAAAACGCTCAAATACTTGTTAATACATGGGCAAGCAGTAGAGATTCAAACATTTGGTCGAGTCCAGATTCGTTTAAGCCAGAAAGATTTTTAGCTTGCAAATTTGATTACAATGGTCAAGATTTCAAGTTCATTCCCTTTGGTTCAGGGAGGAGGATGTGCCCGGGATTGGCTTTGGCGCACCGGGTAGTACACGTTATGTTGGCCACTTTGATACACAACTTCGACTGGAGACTTGAAGAGGGACTAAAACCAGAAGAAATTGATATGAGCGAGAAATTCACAACTACTCTACACAAGGCCATACCTCTCAAGGCTATTCCAATCAAATTTTGATCTTTTTCTTTGTTTTACAAGTTGAAGTGTGCTTTTACCTGTTCTATAGTGGTGACAATGCTGTTATATTTCCCTTTCTAGGTAGAAATAAGTTGTTGGAAAGTAATTTTATGTTAATGCTACTATAATGCATGTTACAATTGGTAGTTTTTTTTATTGCTAAGTACAAAATAGAAAGCTTGCGTTCAAGTATGACTTACCTACAAGGATATATCAAATGTGTATCACATGCTCAACGTAGCGTGTCGTGTCATGTGTCTTAAAATTAATGGAGGGACTTCCTTGCTCAATAGAGATTTTGAATCCTCTCATCACTAATTATACCCTCCTACTTTTTAATTTCAAGCATATGATATTGTTGAACATTATTTAAACCATGTTGATTTTTCTATGCCCCTGTTTGGAAGATATTAAAATTAGATTTTTAGTACATTTTGATAAAAGTTGATGAAATACGGCTGAAAACTTGTGGATCCCAGGAAATATGCGATTAAAATTAATTGAGCGAGACACTAATTATTCAACGATTAAACGCACTGATTGATGCATATTTTATAGATTATTTATTTTTTGGTGTAAATGTTGTAATGCAGTAATAGTAGCAACCACTACAGCAGATGTATTAAATTTATTCATGGTTTTCTCTGAACCAAGGATTCATTATCTGCCATACATTATGTAACCAAAAATTTCTAGTAGAGTCATGATTATGTTTCCAATAATTTCACACTTTAAACTCCATGTCTCAAAGTATGATCGGAATGCTACAAATCAGCAATTATCTAAATTTAGATTATAATTCAAAGATATAGAGCATGATAGGTTGTGTTTTTAACATGTTTTTTTTAAATAATAGGACGAAAATATTATATTCTTTTAACCAAAAAACAACAATATCCCCTCTCGTAATAACAAAAATAACTTTTTAACATCGTATTTCATAAAATAAGCAACAACTCATCGTAAAGTAATTCCATTTCCATCGAGTCTAATATTCTTTATTGTGATAATTTTAAAGTGTTAACTAAAAATATATATTCACAATTAAAAACATAATTTGTTAATGAGTGAATAAATTTATTCATTTATGTAAGTTAATAATGAATTTGTTATATCCCTCATGTGCAAAACATATTAAATTTGAATGACTTTTGGGGATTTAAAAAGTTTAGGAGTATTAAATGTAGACTTTTAGAGACTCTCTATATAAATTTTTAAAGAGTCTCTAAAAGTCACGATATATTGAATTAAAACTTTTTAGAAGTCTCTATAAATTTTGGGGTATTCAAATTTTTATAACTTTTAGAGACTTTTATAAAAGTCTTAATGGTACTAACTTTTAAGTAGAAAGTACTCAAATAAAATCTTAAAATTTGTCTCTCATTAATTACAAGATTTTGGGAGACTTTCTAAAAAAAAAATAAAAAAAATTAATATGTATTTTTTTTCAATATTTCTCTTTCCTTTTCTCTTCTACAAACATCAGAGTTATGATTGAAATTTATTTTTTTCTATTGATTGTATTAGTTTCTATTTTTCTTTCTCTCTCTTATTGTTTATTTCTATTTTCTATGAAAAATAAAATTGTATTTTTATAACTTTTTTCCTTTTTTCATTTATTATTTCTGAAAAATATCTATTTTTGATTAAATTATAATTTTTTTATAGACTAATTTATAATTAAGTTAAAAGAAATATATTTTTTTCTATTCTTTAAAGGTATATTATATTAATAATACTGAATATTAAATTTATTTTTATATGTATAATAATTATTATTTATTTAATTAAGGACTTAAATTTTTGTTCTTTAAAAAAAAAAATTATTTGGGGGAAAGAGAAGGAGAGGGGGAATTGGGAGAACCACCACCGTGATAATTTCACAATATTGCACTAAATCCACATAAATTCTATTTCAAATGAAAGTTTTCAAAAATCTTTTGAATTCTACAAAAGTTTCTAAAAGTTTTAAAATGAAATTTTATAAGTTTGCAAAAGTCTTCCACTAATTCCATACAAATTTCTAAAACAATCCATGAAATCTACAAAAGTCATCACTTAAAAAAAGTTCATCAAAGTTTTCAAAAATCTCAATTGAATACACCTCTCTAAATCTCTGTTTGCCCTTATATAACGTGAATCTCTTCATGAGATTAGATGATTGGGTTCAAAATAATAACAATTGAAAAAAAAACTGATTTAAGTCTGAACACCAAAATAGTTATATATCATGATGCAATGTGTGTATATATACTCACACGTGTGTACATGTAAACATGAATCAAAATTATTAAGCCCATGTTAGTTTTTCGTTCTTTCAAAAAAAAAAATTTCCTGAATACTCATTTTTAATCACACATTTATACAATAAAATATTCTACACATAATTCAAAATTTTTCTTACATTTTAATCACCCAATCTTTAAAAATCCAGTATTCAAAGCAATGTTTTTTGAAAAATGGCCACCAAACATGGCTAATATATTTTAAAATAGTATTATTCTATATTTTATACTTTCAACAAAATGTAGTGGATGGCTAGTCGGGATCTGAAATTTAAATTCAATCCTCAAAATAAGAGAAAAATAATATAAAAATCTAGTGCCTAATCTCATCAGCAAAACTCAAAAGAGAAAATTGCGGTCTCGGTGTCAAACTTTTAATTTAATAGCAGATTTTGCCTAAACTTTTTATTTGTGTCATTGTGAATACTAAATCTTTAAAAAAATTGCAACTCAAGTGTAAAATAATGATTTCCATTAATTTAACTACAAAACCGTCAATTGACTCCCAAAATTTTTTTTAAAAAAAACCTTAATTATTTTCCCAAATAAGACAAGGACATTTTGGACAAACTACATTTCTCCTATTAAATCAAAAAACAAAAAATAAAATCCCAACATACTTTCATTTTCTTCTTCCCCAAAACCAAAACTACTTTATCCAACCGTCACCCAACAACAATTCTATTTTGACTTAGTCCATGGCTACCTCTTTTCCTGCTAAAAATGTTATTTGCTATGTGAGAGTAAATTTCATTCACGACAGCCATATTTTCAGTGCATTTTAATTAGGTAACCACATTTGATTATAATTTTAATGGAGCAAACAACCTTTAGTATGATTTCACTTGGGTAATTAGCGCAAAACGTCCTCACCTTTCATTGTTATTGTGGAAAACGTCCATACCTTTCATTTTTTGGCATTTTTACCCTTATTTCCACATTTCATTACGCAAAAGGTTCTTTTTATCCATTTTCTCAATTAAAAATTGTGAAATGACGAAAATACCATTCCTTTTAAATAAAACAAAAGGAAAAAAGAAAAAAATAATTTCAAACATAGTCTCAATTTTTTTGAAAATTGCAAATGAGTCCTAAATAAATTATTAAAAGGGTAATTTACACATAATATCACTGCCTTTCACTATTATTGCGAAAAACATTCTTACATTTTATTTTTTTTAGCATTTTCTCCTTTAATTATAATTTGATTGAGCAAACCATCATTTCTATCTATTTTCATCCAATTTCTCAATAAAAAACAGTGGGATGCCGACTATACCCTCATATTTAAATAAAAAAGTTAAAAAATTAATTGCAACAATTGTCCAATTTTTTTTTAAAATGTGCAAACGAGTCACCAATAAATTATTTAAAAAATTTATTTTTTTATGGAAAGTGCAAATGAGTCTCAATTAAATTTATTTAAAATTTTAAAAAATTAAAAAAATTAAAAAGTGCAAACGAGTCCCAAATAAATTATTAAAGAATTAGAAATTAAAAAAATATATTTTTTATTTAAATATGAAGGTTCGAAGGAATGAGCAAAGAAAAGAATCAACCAAGCTGCCGGAAAATGGAATAAAAAGGAAAGTTGATGAAGGATTTTCTTCCTTATTTTGTTTTCTGTTTTCGGCGTATCTCTTCAACCAACAAGAGCCTTCTATTTATACACATAGAAGAAGAGGGTGGCCATAAATTGACATAAAGATGATTTACATAAATTCCTGAAACTGAAGATGTAATGGCTGAAATGAAGACGGAGGGAAACTGAAGGAAACTGAATGGCTGTTGATTTTCTGAAATAACTGACTTTCATTCAATTATCATTCAAATATTTCCAACACAAACAACCTTTAGTATGATTTCACCTGGGTAATTAGCGCAAAACGTCCTCACCTTTCATTGTTATTGTGGAAAACGTCCATACCTTTCATTTTTTGGCATTTTTACCCTTATTTCCACATTTCATTACGCAAAAGGTTCTTTTTATCCATTTTCTCAATTAAAAATTGTGAAATGACGAAAATACCATTCCTTTTAAATAAAACAAAAGGAAAAAAGAAAAAAATAATTTCAAACATAGTCTCAATTTTTTTGAAAATTGCAAATGAGTCCTAAATAAATTATTAAAAGGGTAATTTACACATAATATCACTGCCTTTCACTATTATTGCGAAAAACATTCTTACATTTTATTTTTTTTAGCATTTTCTCCTTTAATTATAATTTGATTGAGCAAACCATCATTTCTATCTATTTTCATCCAATTTCTCAATAAAAAACAGTGGGATGCCGACTATACCCTCATATTTAAATAAAAAAGTTAAAAAATTAATTGCAACAATTGTCCAAATTTTTTTTAAAATGTGCAAACGAGTCACCAATAAATTATTTAAAAAATTTATTTTTTTATGGAAAGTGCAAATGAGTCTCAATTAAATTTATTTAAAAATTTAAAAAATTAAAAAAATTAAAAAGTGCAAACGAGTCCCAAATAAATTATTAAAGAATTAGAAATTAAAAAAATATATTTTTTATTTAAATATGAAGGTTTATTTATTATTTCACAATTCTTTATTGAGAAAATGGATAGAAATGATGGTTTGCACTATCAAATTATAATTAAGGGAGAAAATGCAAAAAAAAAAAAGGTGGGTTGTTTTTTGCAATAATAGTGAAAGTTAGGGACATTATGTGTCAATTACACTTTTAATA